AGTGTACAAGTCTTGGCCTCCTTGGTTAAGTTATTCTTTTTATTGCCATTGTAAGTGGAATTATTTTCTTAATTTCCTTTTTGGATATACATAACTTTTTAGTATCAGGTTTTGTGCTTGAAATGACTATATGCAATTCTTTATTTTTTATTTATTTATTTGTTATTTTTTTAAAGATCGGCATCTGAGCTAACATCTATTGCCAATCTTCTCCTTTTTTTCTCCCTTTTCTTCTTCTCCCCAAAGCCCTCCAGTACATAGTTGTATATTCTAGTTGTAGGTCCTTCTGGTTGTGCCATGTGGGACGCCATGTTCAGGGTCGCTTGATGAGTGGTGCCATGTCCACACCCAGGATCCAAACGAGTGCAACCCTGGGCTGGCGACGTGGAATGCATGAACTCAACCACCCGGCTACGGGGCCGGCCCCTATGTGCAATTCTTAATCAAGACTTTTTAATGGTGATATCTTAAAATTCTTGAATAGTCTCTGTTGGTGAGAAACTATATCACCTAATAGGTGTTAAAAAATTTTAGACTATTTTTCACAGCCATTCAAACTTTGCAAGATTTGAAATTGAAGTTAAAATGTAGCAAATATAATGTTAAAATTTCTTAGGACAGGGGCCGGCCCGGTGGCCGAGTGGTTAAGTTCATGTGCTCTGCTTCCGCGGCCCCGGGTTTGGATCCTAGGCGTGGACATGGCACCACTCATCAGGCCATGTTGGGGCGGTGTCCCATTTGCCACAACTAGAAGGACCACAACTTAAAAAATATACAACTATATACTGGGGGGATTTGGGAAGGAAAAAAAAAAAGCAGGGGGAAAAAAGAAAGATTGGCAACAGCTCAGGTGCCAATCTTAAAAAAAAAAGAAAATCTTAGGACAAACAGATTTGGAAATCAATAAAATGTTTCATATCAAGTATTTCAAAATAAAGATGAAGCTCTATATTGCAGTATGTACATACATTTTTCAAATGATCACTTTGTATCTAGCTTGGATACTACTGTAAGGATCCCTCTGTTGCTAGCAGACAGAGATAACTGATACATGTGAAGGAACAGATTTAGGGGCTATTATCTGTAGCCTTCCAGAATCTGCCCTCCTCCTTTCCTCCAAGCTGTTAGCACGTTTGGCTAAGCACTGTCTTGGACATCTCAAACAGAAACTCCTCCAGCAGCTTCATGGGGCAGTGGTATGCTCTGCAGCTGGTTAATAAATCCATTTCCAGGGGCTTGAGCAACTCCTCAGCTGTGCTCAGTGCCTTACAGAGGAGCAGTGGTGTGGGATGTGGCCCGTAAATCACCATCTCCAGGAGAGGGAGTTGGATTCAAAGAGTCACAAACAAGGTTACCCACAACCAGAGATCACCATCCTGGGAGCTTCAGCCAATCCTGGCTGTGCCTGGTTGCCTTGTGGGCTGAAGAGGTCCACTTTCACTTGACCCATTGAATTCCATTGTCTGCACACCACTACGGATCATTGCGCACCTGATGGGAAGCTCTGGTCTAGTGAGTGGCTTGTTTAGAAAGGAGAAAAGAAGAATTTAATGTATCTTAGGAAGAATAAGCAAAAATAGATTCATCCTGATAGGTATAATTTTGGAAATATGGTCTATCCTATCTTCTGATCAATTCCCAATCTAAAGTGTGTCAGTTTAGAATTCTGCATTGGAAGTTAGATGAATGGCTTTGGTTTAATGTCTGAATGTGTTGAAAGGAAGTTGGAAATTTGGATTGTTTTTCTACTTCTGCCATTAGCTAACTGTGATCACCTTTATTATGTTTTGCTTTCCACTCTCTTTGCTCACGCATTTCTCTGTATACTCTGCATTATTGCCTCTCATGTGTTTTTTTCTAAATATAGAATTTGAAGTTACTTGAAATGCATTTCAAATGCCATTTCCCCCATTTGAATCTCTTCTGATTCTTCCTACCAGGAGGATATTACCAGATAATATCTTTCCCTTCTTTTGGGAGAAAACAGTTTATATTATAATTTTCTTATAGTATTATATTCTTTCTTGGACTATGGTTTTTGTCTGGATTTATCTTATTTCCTCTTCCTTCTTTATATGGTCTTCTTAGCATTGTGAAGAAATTGTAGTTTATCTAATTTGAGGGTACAGTAAAATAATTTTTTAAGCAAAAAATTTTTTACCTACCATAATTAGCAAGCACATATAAACCATGCTGCTTAACCCTCTTTCATGAAGAAATATGAGAAGTTTGGACTGAAAATGGAAAAGCTGACTTCACTTTCACAGATGGCACACCTGTAATAGATGAAAAAACAGGTTTCAAGACTGTATTTAATTCAGAAAAAATGTTCCTACCTTCCATTGCATCATTCAGCAGAGAATATGTACTGCAAATTTTGTCAGGTTCATGGAATAATATAATGGAGGAATTGATGGTAACTCAACTTTCTGCTTGATTGTACCACTAACCAGTTTATCGATTATTTGGAAGATATTAAACATGGATCTGGAGACTTAGTTCGTTTTAATACGGCCATGTAACTAGATTGTGGAAACTTATTGAGAGTAACCGAGCTGCTTCTCCAGATCAAGGCCTTATTAAAAAAAATATTTTTTTAATTAAAGGCCTTTGAGAATAAAGGGTGTATCAGATCCTCATTGGCTCACAAGACTTTGTTACTGATGCGAAAAGATATCTGAACATATTGAACTAGAAACTGCAGTGGGAAAATGTGCTCGTTTATTTAGAGAAGTGCTGTCTTTCCCATTAAAGTGCAACGAGGGGATTGAGCAGATGGCACTTGGAAGCTACACTTATTTCCATTGCAGAGCTGCCCTGATATGAGCGGAAGCGCTGATGTTTAATATTGGTACAAATTAAGATACAATTTCAGAAAAGACATACACATTTTGATGTATTTGAATAATACTTTAAGTTTCCATGGTTCTAAGTGCAAACTTGAGGATGTGACAGAAGGCCAAGGAAATGCTCTCTCAGTGTGGTTCAGTCTTGGGGACAGAGGGAGCTGAAACAAACTGCTCATCAAGGGGGTGCTACTTGATCAGGCTCTGCGGACTGGTGTGCCTGAGACTCTCAGCATCCGTGCCGAGATGAGATCAGAAATTGAGAGAAAACGAGCAGAAGCTTTATGGTAATTTGGCAGAGTATGTTTATATCTATTGAATCTAATAGTGAAAAATTGGTTTTGTATTATGTATATCTTTTATTTCATTTTCTAGTAATTCATTCTTATTGTATTTTACCAAAGTTATCTGTCTGAAATGGATTAGGGAAAAAAACGAAACAAAACAGGTACTTCATCACAGATAGTTTAGAAAGCATTGAATCCAGAGTCTCTTAGAAGCATGAAGCATCTGGAAATGAATATATGAATCTGAGGTTTATCTAGAAATTTCTGGTAAGGTGGGTGGCCAAATTCTAAGGCAATATTTAGGTCCATCTGACTCTATAAAGTACAAATTCTGTTTTATAGCTAAAAATTAAAAATAAAATGCCTATTTTAGAAAAACTAACTAGGGACTGTATTCCACTATGTCGTTAATTTAAAATACTCACCCTTCCCATCTGTGCATTTAGGATCATGAGCCCAGTAGTGCAAAATTTAGCCACCCTTATTGTAGCACAATGCCTTCTGCCCAGGAGATACCAAAAACATTTGTTGAGTTCAGTTAATTTCTCCTAATAGTTAGGAGAAAGCTGGATAGTTCACTAAATAAAGTCCAGAAAATTAAAGTAACTTTGAAAGGTAAAATTTGAAAGGTTTTTAGCCTTATAGCCTCTACCAAATGTTATCTGCCTGGTTCTGCTTGATTAGACCTTTGCCAATCAGCACTTTGTTTGAGAATATGTTACTAAGGCACCACTATGAAGGTAGTAGATTTGTGAGAGTCTAAGTTTGTTATTGTTGTTGTTTTAATCAGTTGAGATTTTTAGTAAACTAAATCCTTAGTTTGTTGTTTTCGTAAGTTCAGATTTTTTGTAATTTTCTTGATATAAAAATTATAAGTGACTTCATAACTCTATTCTGATACAGCAATTACTTAAAGAACTTACCCTGAAGATCTGTTTTCCAAAGTAGATGTTAATATACTGTAGTATCTTCCTTATACTTTAATACTATCCCTCAATAAATTTTCAAAAGTTGGCCGATATAAGAAGAAAATAGTCACCCATATGGAAATAATAGCATTGTGTCATATTGTCAACTTTCATGTTAGATTTGCAAAATTGAAATATAATTATGAATAACAAAATAAACACATGTACTGTACAACAGAGTATGCCATGATGTGCTTTTGATACAATGGAAACAATTACTAATAAAATAAGGTGTTTTATTTGGAAGAGAGAATTTGTTCTTGGCAGTGGCTTTCCAATTTTACCAACTTTAAAAGTGACTATATTGGTGGATGAGATAGTTATGGAAAAAATGTATACAATCTTTATGCTTAGAACACATGCATTGTCAAAGTTTCTTCACGCAAAAGTTAAGCAGGACCCAGACTACCAAAGCTATCTCATTCTGAGGGGGAGGCCGTAGAATATTCTCTTTACTTAGCCTGTCACTTCCATTAGGCAATTTAAGAAATTTACATTCTGAATTTCATTTTAACGCCAAACACTGGTTCTGTCTTTATTGATTCTGCCTTTATTTTTATGAATATATGTGTATTTTGATATGTCAGTGGGAAATATACCATGTGTAGTATTTTTTTGGTTGATGTTTCATTTCAGTGTTGTGCTGTATTTTTCATGTGTTCTGTTTTCCAGCTAAGGACAGTAGCAAGGTCTTTTAAGAGTATGCTGCACTCTATTTTCTTATTTCTTCTTTCCAGAGATTGTAGAACTGTCTTCTGTTTATAGGGAAGATTCACTGTTGACTAACACAGATTTGAAGACTTCTGTTGTAATCTATTGATAGAAGATTTAGAGAATAATATTGGCATGTTTTAAAACATCTTTGTATAAGCATAATATTGTGTTTTGTATTTTTGCAGGAAGATTCTTTGGCAACAGATGATTTCCTTGTGGACTACTTTAATGAATTCCTAAGCCTTCCAGTGAGTGTATTATTATGTTCTATGGAATATATTATCAAAGCAAACTATTGTAATCACTGGATTATCTCGTAAGAAATTTATCAGGGATAATTTTTTTTAAATATTAAAGCATTGAGGTAAAGTTTGTGTCTTTTTGTGGAGTTAATCATTTGGGTTTGCATCATATTTAGGAATTATTCTTACTGAAGAAAGCTGGGTCAGTTATACCACAATAAAAAAATTTTAGGGGCTGGCCCCGTGGCACAGTGGTTAAGTGCACATGTTACGCTTTGGCGGCCTGGGATTCACCGGTTCGAATTCCAGGTGTGGACATGGCACCACTTGGTAAGCCTTGCCGTGGTAGGCTTCCCACGTATAAAGTAGAGGAAGATGGGCACGGATGTTAGCTCAGGGCTAGTCTCCCTCAAAAAAACCCACAACTTTAAAAAAAATAAATAAATAAACAAAAGGAAAAAAAAGAAAGCTGGAATTTTTCTATCCATCAAAAGCATTCTGTACAAAATCTCATACAGTTGTATTTAGCACCATTTCAGGCTTTGAACAGAGGTGATAAGGACAGAATATTAAAAAAATTAAGAAACTAAATTTCTTGCCTCTAGGCAGTTATTGTTTTCCTCTTGGACAAATATTAAAGTGGAATTTGTGTTAAGTCAACTAGAGTTTTATATCAATAGTAAATAAGACATAGGTGGATGCCAAATAATAGATTTTCAGTCTTAGCAATGAACAATAGTAAGTATTGAGGAATTTGGGAAAAGTGAAATGGGGGCACATAAAAGCACTTACATTGTTGTATTAAATAAAGTTAATCAGGAATGTCAGATAAAAGAAAGATAAGGTTTTTGTTATTGTTATGAAATCTTTTCTCTTTTTTTTTTGTGAGGAAGATTGTCACTGAGCTAACATCTGTGCCAGTCTTCCTCTGTTCTATGTGGGATGCCACCATGGAGTGGCCTGACAAAGGCTGGTGGTAGGTCCATGCTTGGGATCCGAACCTGTGAACCCTCAGACCGCCAAAGCGGAATGCGTGAACTTAACTACCACACCACTGGCCTGCCCCCTTAAAACTTTTTAATTAACATATTTACAAGGAAAAATTTGGAATATAAAAGTCACAAGTAATTTTAAAGGGAGTGGACCATAAAATGTGAAATCTCTTAAAGCCTAAATCTGAAAAATGTCTTTTGAAGGGAAAGTACTAGAAGTACTTTCTTGCCTAGATTAGTTCTTGTATATATGTGTGTATCTATGCATGAATGTTTGTTGTTTTGTGATATTTTCTTTTTTTCCAAAAGAATTTGTGCTCTCTCCTCCATCTGGCACAGCTAGGTCTCTGGTTAGGTTGGGACACCAAGCTACCCTCTCCTTTCCAGCAACAGGCCTGAGCAACATGACCAGATACCCGGGGCGCGGAGGCTTCTTGTGTGTCTGACTCTTCAACTTTCATCATGCAATTGTATACTGTTAAAAAACCCAGCAGCATCACAACATTTTCAGAATTTTGCTCTTCCAGATTATGTAGTCTTTCCTCTAGGCTCTACAGTTTCCATTCTTTCTCCAAAAAAAGTATACTTTTGTGACATTTTAAAAAGAAAAATCCCTATGTTGGATCTGATTTCAATTTCTCAAGATTGACATTTCATTGCCTCAAGATTTGTGATTATCTTGAGTTTTACTTGCTCCAGAAAATAAATTCCCTGCCTAAATTTCTTTTTTAAAAAAATTTATTTTAATTTATGAAAGTAATATAACAATAGAGAAAATTTGCTTAAAATGTTAAGAAAAATTCAGTCATAGTCCTGTCATCCAGTCAGAAGAGATGTTACTATTTTTGTGTTTTATTTCAGGCTTGGGTGAAATGACAGAGTGTGATTTCTGTTGAACTCTGTCTATGCAGTCATGTATTCATACCACCCCAGCAGACACCTACACTTTGACCCTTTCATATCTCCCAGGCTGGCCGCCTGGGCGGCTTCTCCCCTCTTTCTGTGTCCAGATCCTTCTGCTTTCACATTCTTTCTCTGTCTCTTTCTGTTTTTAAGCCCCTTTGCATCTACATTTGGTACCACACAGTCTGCCTGTTAACTAACCATGCTTCATGCCACAAGATGAGAGAAGGGGAAATGTCACAGGTTTCCAAAAAGAATTTGGGGGCAGGAAGGAGATGGGATGATGGATTTTTCAACCTAAGTTCCTGGCAAGATTCTAGAACAGATTAGTAATGTTTGGTTTATGAGCACTTAGCTAAGAATTAGAAGCCAGCATGGTTTACTGAGAATTAGTATGGCAGATTAATCTTTTTACTTGGATAATTATGGACTGGTATTTTAGGGAACCATAAATTTAATTTATTATGATTTCAATAGAGTATAATAATGATAATAATAATAATAAATTGAACCATGTTATTTCCTGCTCAAAACAGTGTTTAGTGACTTCTCATGACACTCAGAATAAAATCTAAAATGCTATATGATCTGGCTCTTGCCAGATAAAGATCTCTTTTGGTCTTTATTTCCTGTGCCTCTTCTCCTTGTTAATTCTTTTCCAGCCTAACTAGCCTTCTTTATGTTTCTTAAGCATGAATACGCCAGTGTATTCAGGGCCTTTCAGCCTGGAATGCTTCCCCCAAGACACTTGTATCACTTTCTCCCTGATTTAAATCACTTCTGTTTAGAAAGCCTTCCCTTCCAGCCCTATCTAAAACAATACACCCAACACATGCTCCACTTAGGCTGCTTTATTTGTCTCCAAAGCCCTTATCATTATCTGTGAAGTTAGTTTTCAAATATTTGAATGGGTTCACTACCCATAGCCAGTAGGGATTGACTGTTAATAGCCTGTAGACTGAAGTCCAGATTCCTTCGTATGGAATTCAAGACCCTTTGTAATTTGGCCTCAGCCTGCCCCTTCTAGCTTTATCTCTAGCTTCGTACTTCTTGTGTCACCCTTTATACTCTTTCCTGCCTCCTCTAACCCACCCCTACCCACCTTGACCGCACAGTATTCTTCCTGTGCTCATCTCCCAGGGTAATGGTTAGTTAGTAATAGGAGTGAGACGGAACTGCCATTGAGCTCAGCTCCTCCACTTGTTCCCCATGTGATCTTAGACATATTCCTTGACTACTTAATTCCTTGATTTCTTTCTCTGTGAAAATGATATAATTGTTTTACAAGATTGTTGTGAAATGAGGTAATGTATATTAAGTGCCTGACACAGAATTAGTGCTTCTCTTTCCTTTTCCTTTACTAACTAGACCGTCTCATCTTTCATTCCTGAAACATGAGGGGCAGTCACTCTTTAACTTGATTGGTGGATCATTGTCACTTTAGAGGATAATCTTCTGTGCCACACAAATCTGTCATTGGCTTTGAATTTTAAAAATTGTTTTTCTCAGAGACTTGAATGAAACATTGCAAGTGAACCAGTGTTTCTTCAGCTTAAGGTCACTTAGCTAGAAAGTGACAGAGTTCACCCATGTCCACATGGCTCAAAAACTTGTCCTACTACATGGTAATAACTATAGCACTGGCAGCAGAGGAATAAGCTGATAATTTGGATACAAGAATCTGGTCTCATTTTTATCATGATAATCTGAGATGGAGTAAAACAAACAAATCTAATGTATTTTTAAAGTGCATTAACAGAAGTTAAGATCAAGAAAAATATTAATCTGGAGCATAGAAGGCACTCAATGAATGCTTTTTTGAATTTGATTGAATTGTCAGACCACATTTGGGATATTGTTTTCCATTCTTGGTGCCACATGTTAAGAGCTGCTCTGCCCAACCAGACTTGGGGAGACTTAGCCAATGAACACTCTGAAAGCCACGTCAGATGAGGAAGGATTGAAAGAAGTGTGGGTGTTGAACCTGGTCAGGGAATAGGTAGAAGGGTTGGAATAGAGCATCTCTTTCCAAATATTTGAAGATCTGATTGAGGAAGAGGAGGTAACATATTCTATGAAGCTAGAGTGCAGAACCAGGGCCAGCATTTATGAGGAAATTGATTTTCGCTCACTAGAAGAATGACATTTAAAGTTTGTTTTCTAACAATAGAATGGGCTGGCTTGTGAAGGAATAAACTCCCTGTGATTGAAGATATTCAAGTATAGGTTAGGAAATCATTTTGGGGAATATTTTATAGGGGACATATGTATTGGTTGGGAGATTAGACTTTTCCAACTAAAGAAAATTTGATTAATTCATTCTCTGTTTATCTTATCTCAGGAGCTAAATTGTAGATTTCCTGTGGCCAAGGATAGGTCTCTTTCTTCTGTATTTCCCAAAGCTTCTTGAGGATGATTCTGTTTTTATTTTCACATCTTCCATGTAATATTCTTGAAATAGACAAATAAACCTTCTAATCTTTTCTTCTGTCTCCTCTCCTCTACCACCTGCGCTCCCTCCACCCCCCAAAAAACCCAGTAACCTAAGCCTGAGAGTGTAGAAATATAACATTCTCCGTCCAAAAGGGCCCTTAGGTAATCTAGATTTCTGAGACTTCTGATACTACTTCCACATTTATAGTGACGTGCCCAAGGTTTCATAACTGGATTGTGGCAGAAATGGGCCTAGGAATCAGGCTATCTGGCTCCTACACTATTTCTTTCCATTACACCATTACACCCTTGGGACACACTGTAAGATCCAGAAATTGATGGCTGGTAGCCTGCCTCCATGTTATTGTTTGATGAGGGGAATCCAGGACAGTTGCCACTATTATAACTGATTATGGCACTTTCCAAATCCTAGCTTTCATAACTTCATTCCGTTTGTTCTGGTGCCAGGTTCACATTCGGATACTGTTTTCATTTGGTGTCTGGGAGGTTTTTTTTGCTGTCAACTCTTTATGGACAAGTGTTTGCTTATTAAGTTTTCTTCTTTGCTATAGTGTGAAAACACTTTTTTTTCTTTTGGTTTTGTTTTATGTGTTTCATGCTCAGTGACTGTTGTGGGATTGAGTAGATGAGCCCATATACAGATTTAGGTTGGTCCTC